GGCTGATTCCTCGGACGTGACTGCCCCAGAAGGAACTACGGTCACCTAGTGAAAGTTAAGACAAAAACCAAACAAGTTTTAAAAGAAAATGCAGTTCCCTTCCAGCAGGCTGTTTCTCCGCAGGGAAAAGGGAAGGCCCCGGTTTTGTCCATACCGGCTGCGTCTCAGTGCCGTCGGTGTTGGCCACAGTCACGGTGTCACCACCCACCAGCTCCTCCTCAGGCACAGCCAGGGCACCGCTCTCGGTCACCATGCCGATGGCACTGCCCAGGGCCTGCAGGTCTTCCTGTGACAAAGGGACCTGCGCGGGATAAGAGCGGATGCCCTCAGCCCGGGTGGCTTCTCACGAAGCCTTACGCAACTCCCGAGTTTAGTAACACAAAGGTCTCAGCAAGGATGAAACCTTCTCCCCCTCCTCTGCACGCAAGGCCTTGGGCACGGAGAACTCCACGGACTTTGCCCAGGGTCTTGGACAGAATCGATGGAGAACTCGCAGACCTCGAGCCTCCAGCCCTACCCCCTCTGCCACACCTGCCCTTCCCATTTAGCACCTTCTCCCCCAGCTCCGAAGCGACAGCGCATCGCTGCAGCGGGGAGCATCTCGGGCTAAGAGGAAACCAGCGCTGCTCGCGCAGCTGCTTCCTCTGCCCCGTGCCGCAGAAGGGAGTTTTTCCCAGTCAGCACACGGGCAGCTGGTAGAGGGAAGTACAAGAAAAGCACTGCTCCATACAAACGATGAAAAAACAGTCTCCAAATCCAGCCTGTGTCAGCAGAGATGGGGAGCTGCTTCTGGCTGTCTGGGAGGCAAGGGCTGCCAGGCCGCAAGACCCCAGCCAGCAAGAAGGCGCATTGGGGACCAGAGGCCTGCTCTTCACACCCCACATCAAGGCTGCTGCAGCAAGGCAAGGCTGAAAGGAGGGAGCCCTCGTGACAGGCAGAGCCCGCGGAGCCCCAGGGTCTGGTTTAGGCTGAAAAAAGCCTTACAGAGAGCACCAAGGCTGAGTAGAAGCAGAATCTCACTCAGTTAACAGCTGGCCTCCACGTGCTGGAGGCTGTCTGTGTCCGTACCTGCTCCGTCCCATCCTGAGAGATAAGCGAGACCTGCATAGGCATACCATCATCATCTTCCTCTTCCTCTTCATCTTCCTCCATCTCTGACAGGAAAGCGATATGCTGGCTCTTCAGGGGGGAGCCTCTGTCGGCAGCAGCAGCTGAGTCAGGGGAGGGGGGGGGCACAAGGGGGGAGAGCAGTGCTCATCAGAAATGAAACACCCGCCCGGGGACCTGCCTGGAGGGCCAGCACGGAAGAGCACCGGATCATGATGACAACAGCCCAGTGTCGCATGGGAAGAGGGATCTTTACCACTCCCCGCACTACACAATGGGCAGGAGTCGGTTCCCAACCTGTGACAGTCCAGCGGAGGGCTAGGAGGATGATGAGGGGACTGGAGCATCTCTCCTATGAGGAGAGGCTGAGGGAGCTGGGCTTGTTCAGCCTGGAGAAGAGAAGGCTGAGACGGGACCTCAGAAATGCTGATAAATATCTGCAGGGTGGGTGTCAGGAGGACGGGGCCAGACTCTTTTCAGTGATGCCCAGCGACAGGACAAGGGGCAACGGGCACAAACTG